GGGGGGGGGGGGGGGGGGGGGGGGGGGGGGGGGGGGGGGGGGGGGGGGGGGGGGGGGGGGGGCAAATTTGAGGTAAAGCGAACAGGGGAACCTTCCTGTTCTTCACCATATTATGAACTAGTAACTATAACTCATTTCAGATCTTGAATAGAAGCAGAACATCCTGCTTTTAGCAAATTCAATTTGGATTAGAATCTAAGTCAATGAAAAAGAAACAGAAATTATGCTTGCAAGTATTGTTTAACCTCCTCCATCCCCATTACTGATGCAAGTAAGCATCACAACATTTCTAGAATCATTTTCACAATTGTTCACTTGCCTTTTATCGAAGGCAGGCGGCTCCGAGGCATCATTCTCGAACCAAGCTTTTACGAGCTCTCTGTCTTTCATTCGCATAATGTCAGAGAAGAAATCTGTTAAAATCTTCTCATAACCTGGCATTTTCGCAAAACCAGGAAAATAATTGATATCAACTATGAGGTAACGGTTCCGGTTTCTCGAATCCCGCATCACATCGAAGTTGAAGAGGTTGAGCTTCATCGCATGCCTCAATCCTTTGGCGATATCGGTGACGAAACTCAACGGCGGCATCTCGGTGTCGTCCAACTGCATCATCTGATAGTACTTTTCATCAACCCTGTCATGGTTCGTCAAGTTCGATACCTGAGAGAACGATAGCAAACCCTCGACGCTGTCCAATTTCTCCTCAGAAACGTCGGGAAGCGACTTTCTCTTGACGCATTTCACGTGCTGTCCAGCCACATAAACCTTGAATATAACGCCGCCGTGGTTAACAAACTCCTGCAAGACAATGGGAGGTTTAACCTTGTTCAAGGCATCATGTTTAAACACGAGCGCCATTTTATGCGATTTGGCACTGCCATCGGCCACCAATGGCTTCGCAATGACTGGAAACTTCAAGGCCTCCCAAGCTCGCCGATCAGATAGTTTCTCCTTATCGTAAATCGCAATCTGCTCCGGAATCCCGAACGACTCATCGTGATTTTCAATCTTCAGCTCCGATACCACCTGAAGCATGGAAATCCTGTTGTGAAGCCTCTCAATCGCATCCAGGGAGTCCAAAATCACCGCATTAGGATTCACAACCTTGAAATTTTCCAGCTGCCTCCTCCAATCCGCACCATACAGCTTGTGGAGAACGCAATCAAAGGCTCCTTGATCAACAAGCGGCCGGTCCGTATCGATCCGAACAAGATCGATACCTCGCGACTCCGCAAGCCTCACCAACGAATCTCGTATGAAACTCCTCCGCTTCTTCGGCATAAGCGCATACCCGACACAGAATCTCCGTCCGACTTCCGTCATTGACACCAATAACAAGAAATACAAATGGGAAAACACTCATAAGAACAGTTACAGAAAGGTAAAATCTACAGAGAACTTCATCAATATTCCGTCCAGAATTATAATCACAGCGTTTCGTTTCGTTTCATTTCGATTTGAAAGAACAATGAAAAAAAAAAAGCTTCTGATTCGAAACAGAGAAAAGAAACAGACAGGAATTCGGGAATGAAGAGGAGAAGCGGAGGGGTATATATATAGCGTGGATAAGAAGGGAGGGCATGGGCTTTGATAAAATAACCCACCATAATTGGTAGGGTGAAAAGACACAGTGTACACGTGGCATATTCTGTTGCAATATGCGGATTCCCGTCACGGGATCACACCACGGCGATCACCAAGGTCAACCAATGTTCAAACGAGGAAACGGATTTGGCTTTTATTACTATTTGAATTTCGATTCAACAAAATATTATATAATATACCTTTTAATTTAATTTAATTGTACAAATCATCGGTCATTATTCTAGGTCATATGACCCGAGAACCTAATCAATTTGAACTATCTAACGATTGTGTTAATTTCTTTTTCTTTTGGTCTCTTCGTGAGAATTTTCTTAGAAAGCAGGTTAGTGGGAACAAAACATACTTAAAGAACTCCCGAGAATTTTCAATCTTATAAGTAACATGACCATGTTGTAGGGGATGCAGGAAAATGTCAAGAGTCATTAGATAAACCGAGACCACTTCTGAATGAGAGCAATCATTAAATAAAGATAGCTAAGAAAAGCTTAGAAATGAAAGTTATTATCTATACGTGTTTTTTGTGACTCAATTATATAAACTCCAAAGTTAAGCGTGTTTTGCTGGGTGAACTCCTCAGAATTTTCATAAAAAATATGTGATGGAAGACAAAAATATAATGAAAAGATTTGTGTTGATTTGGTCTATACGGATAAAGCAATAAGTAACGTGACCTAGCAAGGTGCTGAATCCAGTGTCATAAGGTGTCGACCACGTGCTGAATCTAGATTTTGAATTCATGAACCTCGAATAAAAAAGGCTTATATAAGAAATAAAAAATGACAAAATATGCTAAAATGACTCGGGTTTATATGTTTTGAAATAAAAAAATTAAAAAAAAAAGAATATTAGGCAAACTTTTAACCTTCTTTATATCTAGATGAAATGTTCTCTACTTTATCCGAATATTGTCATAAATTTATTTAAAAATTTAAAATAAAAACATTTACGTAACTTTTGAATACAATATCAATATGATCTTATCTAGAATATTCAATTTGTAAATACATAATAAATTATAAATTAAAAAAAAAACGTATAAATAATATCCAAATAATCTTAGGATTATAAATACGATTAAAGTCTGTGGATTTCAAAAATTTCATTAATACTGATATGAACCAAAAAAACATCAATCATACAATATATTTCAATGACGATGTGAAGAAAAAGTTGCCAAAATTATCAAAAGATGTTTCAATGCATGCCACATTGAAGAAGAGTGAAGTTTGATTGTTATAAATTTTGGGTGGGTTACAATTTAGAGTTTTTAGGACTTTTTATTTACTTTAGGTTACAATTACATAATGGTTAATTATGACCATTAAGTATGAATGTTACAATTTTTGGAATGCCTAGTAGTTTCATTTTGAGGCTATATAAAGTCATGTATGTTGTATTTGCAAGAGACTTGAAAAATATAGTAAAAAGAAGCATTTGTGCTCTTCTTTAGCCAATGACTAAGTTTCTTTGCAATTCTATGTAGTTTAGGTTGCATGTAGAATCATTCAAGCTCGACATGATCAATCTTGCTTGTGGAGTGATTCGAATCTCAAACAATGTTCTTGCCTTGAGATATTCGATCAACAAGGTAATCCGAATCTTACTCCCCTTGTAGTGGTTCCATTTCTTATCAAATACCCTTCAATTTTTTTAAAAATTTTAAAAATATTTTAAGAAGTTATAGTATTTGGTGTTGGATGATGAAAATCCCACATCAGCTAATTTAGAGAAGGATCATGAGTTTATAATCAACTAATACTTTCTCCATTGGTTTGAGGCGTTTTGAGAAAGCATAAATCAAAACCACAAGAGCTTATATTTAAAGTGGATAATATCATACCATGGAGAGTCGTGTTCATGGACGGAACTGTTAATATCACGATTCAAAAATACCCATTTTATGAACGGAACTGTATTACGAAAATACCCTTTTTATGGACGGAACTATATCACGATTCAAAAATACTCATTAACTTCTTTAAAATTGAGGAGGGTAGATAGATCGTTTTTGTCTATATACTAACAATAGTAACTGTTTAGAGCTATTTTTTAAAATATAAAATTAACGAGCTTAGTATAACTCGCTATAATGGTTTGTTTAGATAACATAAGAATGATTTTTTTTAACTGTATGTAAAGGGTAAAATTCGAAGCTTTTAATTTAGTAAATATGTGTTTGTTAAGGTTGGTTGACCTATCTCATGGTAAAAACATAGTACCAATGTTTTATGTTTTCAACGTAGTGTTCCACGTGGACATCTATATTTAGATTTGTGTGGTTGACTTTTGTGTCTTTTCATTATTTAATAAATAAATTAATTGAAAAGGAATTAGAAAGAGAATGAAATTTGAATTGTGTTGGGTTTTGGATAGAATTTCCACATGCTTGTAGATATTGTTGGTTTTGGTTCGTTACGTACTGTTGTCAGTCTGGAGAGGATTCCACACGCTTATAAGAAATGTTTTGTTTTCATTTTCAATCTATGTGAAGTCTTACAATCTACCCCTCTTGGAAGCCAATGTCTTCGTTGGTACACCGCCCAGTGTCAACCCAAGCCCACACTGACAAATGTTGTTTGATTTGTTACATATCGCTGTCAACCTCACGATTTTATTCTCAAGAAATTATTGAAGAGGTTACTATAATGTGGCTGACAAAGCTTGGCCTCGACATTTCCCTTCATCTCATGTGACATGATCACATTACCTATTTTTCGCTTTTAAGAGTAAAGGTTAGATCCTTTCACCTTCTTTTTCAGTAGCTCAATCATAGAAACTCCAAAGTTATGTGTGTTTTACTTAAAGCAATCTTATGTTGGGTGACCTCTTGAAAATTTTCTCAGAAAGCATACAAGTATGAACAAATCATGTTGAAAGGAACCGTGTTAGCCTGTGATTTGTAAGGAACCGTGGGGGATAGTTTTCACTTTTAAAAGCGTGAAGTAAGTAACGTGACCATATGAGTATTGAATTCGAATTCTAAATCTCGAACACGAGGATGCATACTTAACCGCTAAGATAACTATTTACTTCCCATTTTAGAAAGATTGACTAAATCAAGATTGGTCAAATATTTATGATGAGAGAGAAGAAAATTAAGATGGGTTGACCTAATTTGTGATATGAACTTACATGGGCCATTCATACCCATGATTAATCAAAAGTAGCATATATTATAATATATGATATCACCTTCTATATATATATATATGAATAATCATTGGAGTTTATATTATAAAAAAAAATAGTTAGTAGAAATTTTTATAATCTTATGAATAAAGATTGTTGTTCTTAATGCATTAAAATGTGAATCTGTCGGGACGACGACCAATAGATTAGAGGTTTAAATATTTAATGTATAGTTGTTAAGCTAAAAAAAAACGTTATTTTATGCTTCAATTTGAGATAGGAATTTACACTGGTCGGGAATATCTTTTGGATAGACTCAAAATGGGTTAATAACTTGAACAATCTGAATAGAGTTCACACTCCAACTTAATTCAACCTTATACTTTCGGGTTGAGTTGGGTTGAGTTGGGTTGAGTTGGGTTGGGTTGGGTTGCCAGTTTGTTTTTTTAATTATTTATAATATATGATACATTAATAACTAAAATCTTATCAAACTCAAATATCAAACATTCTCGAGTCACAACCCTTCACTAATATCTGTTATATACGTTATATATTTTTAATCTTCATAATAATCTTAAAAGTCCGGTAGGGTTTGATTGTAACCCTATTTTCAGGTTGGTCGAGTTAATTTAACTAAAAAAAATATCAACCCACGGATCAACCTGAATTTTCGATTTTTAGAAAATTCAACTCAATCCAACTGAACCCATCTAACTCAATCCAAATTCTATGATTTTGGTTGGATAATCCGAGTTGGTTATTTAAACATTTATATTCGAGAATTTCAACATTTTCTTTATTTTATTTTATGTCAATTTAATTAGGTTTGAAGGGTCCATCCATCCATTGTTAGATAATTTTTAGCCTTCATATAATTAGCTAATATATATATATATATATAAATATTAATTATTTTCTTTCATATAAAATAAAGTTAAAATAACCTATTTACAAATATTTAAATTGATAGAGACTTTAGCAAAGAGGTTGTCTCTTTAATGATAGCCGAGGTAGGACTTTCATCCAATAAGTTGAGCTGACTCGACAAAACAAACATGTCAACCCGTGAATCGATCTAAAATTTTCAACTTTCTAAACATTCAACCTAGTATGAATCGAGAAAAATCTAACTCAACCCAATATTTATAGATTGGGCTGTCTAGTCTAGATTGGTCGGATTATCGGGACATAAAAACACCTCAACTGAAAAATAAGATCTCTCTTGTGTTTGGGCTGGGCTTAAAACAAGCCGACTGTAAAATACCCACTTAAACAGGCCCAATGGGCCATTTGAGTTACAGACTGTAACGGCCCAAGCCCAAATCATTAGTTCTCAGGATTTACGTTTCATTTTATTTTAAGATTTTTTTTTTTTTTTTGACGAAAAATTGTGAGAGATGTAATTATGGTCCCTTGAATTTATGAAAATCTCGATTATTACATCATTATTATTATTGCTATTTTTATTATAATTTGATAATATTAAATACATAAAATGCCCAAACTTTAATGGTGGCTGAATTGTAATAATTTATTTTTTTGGGGAGAAAAATTGGAATGAAAATCAATTTTATTACTACTCCATAGTTCCAAAATAATTGGAAAAAGTGACCAAATCTCATAGATTTTTCAATGCATGCCCACATAAAAATTGCCTATATTATTTTTTAAGTAATTAATTGGAGCAAGAAAATATAATTGAAAAGGAAAATATATATATATAATTGATTTTTAGTTGGATTTGGTTTGTTTAGGTTGTTGAGTTTT